CACGCAATCATGGTAAGTTTCAATTACATATAATTACAAAACAATATTCCATATAAATTTACAAAAATTAGATTATACATGAAAAGATTTGGCCCTCTACTAAGAAACTTCATATAAATAATTTCATAGTTGGCTCTCCACCATGTAATTTTAATTTTGTAAATATGATCACATTAAAATTACATTAATAATATTATTTTGAATGAATATAAATATATAAAAAATAATCTTATTTATATAATTATGTTAAAATTGTTATTGCGATATTGAAATTTTTATATACTTTAGATTGTAATTTTAAATTAATATACCTATAAATTTAATAAATAATAACAAATAACTTATTTCTTTTTTATAATATACAAAAATAAAGTACATATAATTAAGTTTTAATTACATATAATTACAATAACAAAATTGCATATAATAATTACAAAACTTAACATAATTATGTCAAATTGTTATTTATTAATATAATTATGTTAAACTTATGTCAGTATAATTATTTTTATATACATTAAAATATTTTTAAATTATATAGAAGTGTTTTTTAATATTTTTAAATTATTTTGATACAATATTATAATGCTATATTATAATTAATAATTGTATAAATATCCAGAAAGGAAAAGCTTCTAAAAATTTACCTATTTTTACAACATAATGAAAGTACATAATGCACCACTCCTAATTTCTTTTAGAAATAAAAAAAACATTACTTTTAGAGAATTACAGTGATTTTTTGAAACAAAATTGAAACGAAAATTGCCAATTCAGCTGATTCTCCAAACCGATCTACCGATTCGATACGGGTACGGATGTGAATGACTTGGGTTGCGGATCCGCTTTTTCAAACACTTGCAATAACCATTTAGCATTAAGAGTTACCAAAACTCTTTTAATAAATTTGCTCCTCGCAGCTGTACGGATTAAAGACTGATATCCTATATAATTCCTCGCAATAACCAAAAAAAATCTACCCCTTTTTCAAGAGGGTACAAACTTTAATGTAAAATTGTTAGAAAATTTATATTTTATTGAAAAATTTATCTTTTATTGAAAACATTATCAAAAGAATCCATAATTTAGATATTTAATGTTCTAGCCCTTCTCTAGCCTTTGAAATTGAACCAAAAAACCTATAAAATGTTAAATAGCCCTCCTTATGATTGTGTTAACGAATACAAACCTCAGATGGGGTAATGACTGCATAGGGTAGCTTAAGCACCCCGTCGTCGAAACTGATTTTTAAGTTGGCATCGCACGGGCTCACTTGGAACTTCACCCGGGCATCATGTAGCGCCGTGGCTGATGGTACCTTCTTGTGATACGGCTCCGGGTTTCTTAGCCCCTCTTCAACTACAGGAAAGTGGCACCCCGGCGTCGTCATTTGGTAAACATGAAGCGGATGCATCCCCTTAATGTTCGTCGAAGTGCACTTATCACTCCAATAGAGCTCATACGCCACCTTATGCGCCTCGGCGGCATGGGAGCGTTCCCTCAAGGGGTCCAACAAAGTCTGCAAGACCAGCAACGGGATTTGGTTTTCAGACAGCAACAGGTCCTCAGTCTTGTTGTCGGAGAAGAACTCCGCCCTATTGGGGCCGAACACCGGGTCGTCGTCTGTGTAGCCTGTTGTGTCCTTATCTATGGTGGTGCGGTGGAGTTCAAGCAAGAAGCAACCGTCGAGCAGCATCATGTTAAGGAACTCCGGGATCTCCATTCTGGGCAGCTCATCAGGCCACTCATAGCAGGCCCTGAGCTTCCGCTCCACAGTTTCGAGGATCACTAGGTAGACGTCGGCCGAGTGTTTCGAGCGATCAAGGAAGTGGAGGAATGCACGACGCATGTGGTGCTCCATGGGTTGGAGGTGAGGGCTGCCGTGGTGCAGTGGGCCGAGCGAAACAAGCCTGGGAGTGAAGGACCCTTTATGGAAGTCATGGAGGTAGGACGGGATTTTGTAAATACAACGATGTGACCATTCCACCGCCTCTTACTCTCGGTTTAATTTGACATTCCCATTCACTACATCAATAACCCATTGCCTGTCCGATTGCTCCCTGCCTTGCATATTTGTAATCGGACAGTGTTAAGGACTTTTTAGAGCTGGAGAGGCTCCACTTAATCAATAGACAAGTGGTCTCTCAGATCACGCATTAAGCATTTAACAATGATGAGAAGAATCGGAATACTCTTATAGGAAGTATGTCGTAGCTTTAGCTTAATTTCTTAAGAATATCCAATGACATGAGAGGGGCGTCGACCCTAGGGAGGAAAGAGAGAGAGTTTATGGGAGGGAGAAAGGTGTATGGAGATGGGGGAGAAAATCCCTATTTATCATAAAATTTAGATTTAAGGTTTTTTTAGAGTTTCCCATAGTTTGTCTCTTTTTTAATATTGAATATGGACCATTAATCAAGGTGATTTGTGGGGTGAGAGATCTGAACCATCATTTCCATAGATGGGCCATCAACATTATGGAAGGTGCATGAACCATTATCCCCTTTCTTAAACCACTTTCCCGTCAATATATTTAAATAAAATAAATATAATACATTCCATAAAATTGCATGATCCCATCTCACATATTCCATAAGGACATGTCAAATATTATCAAGTTAATATATACTTCCATATTTAAACAAGAAAGGATCAATATTTACTATATACTTAAATTGATCATATCTCTTAAAGATTTGACCACATGCTACAAATCAAACTTACCAAAACTTAAATGACTTGAACACAAAGCAATCAAGAAATAATCCAAAGGGGTGGGGTGTGCCACCCCTATGTGGCACATGTGGGCCCCCCACCCACATGCTACATGGTGGGCCCATGTGCACTATGGGCCCCTATGTAATTTTATAAATATTTTTTAAAATTAAATCAAAACTTTAATTTATATTTGAATTTTTATAACTTTGTAAAATCGATAACTGTGATTTTATAAGTCCAAAAATCATAAATAAAATATTGAGAGATTCATAAAAATTCAAATAATAAAACTAAAATCATTTCAATAATAAAATGAACACAATTAAATTCATATGATGGGAAATTCAATCTGTAATTATGGGATACTCCACCTTCAATTGCGGACTACAGACCGCACTTGTTTTATCGAACCGACTCAGTGTTTCCCATGACCCACAGTCCAAGCAGGGGCTCATTAGCGGGTCATCAAAGTCTGCCCGATGAGTCAAAGCGTCACAATCCCTATATGTGGATTATAGGTCGTCTCTTAGAGATGAGTCAATGTCACCATGACCTGATGCGACCACAACTCTATAGTGTATGGGGGTACCTCTAGCACATGCATACGCTTCACCCAAAAGGTGAATAATTAGCTTTTCCGAATGATCTATCGATATGCATGCCATGTGATAGAACATAGATGAGGTTTTGGCCCCCCTCTCTGTAGGCCTACCATCACACACAATGGTCACACAGTCTCTCGGCTCACTCATCCAGGCATAAGCTCCGACCTCATAAAGGGCTAACCCAAAACCCTTCTCAGTTTATTCTTTATGCCCAAGTACTATTGGGGCCGAACACTGGGTCATCGTCTGCATAGCCTCTTGTGTCGTCAGCTTCCGTGGTGTGGTGGAGGTCAAGCAAGAAGCAGCCGTCGAGCAACATCATGTTAAGGAACTCGGGGCTCTCCATTGCAGGCCCTGAGCGTCTACTCTATGGCTTGGATCACCTCCAGGCAGACATCAGCCGAGTGTTGCAAGCGATCAAGGAAGTGGAGGAGCGCACGATGGTTGTGGTGCTCCATGGGTTGCAGGTGAGGGATGCCATTGTACAACGGGCCCAACGAAACAATCCGGGGAGTTATGAGGCCCCTTTATGGAGCTTTTGGAGGTAGGACAGGATTTTGTAAATGCAACGATGCTTTCATTCCCCCAGCTCCTCCTCTAGGTTCAGTCTGACATTCCCATTCACTATATGAATGACCCATTGCCTGTCCGATTGCTGCCTGCGTTGCATATTTGTAATCTCACATTGGACGGACTTTTTTGAGGTCGAAAGGCTCCACTAATCGATATATAGGTCTCTCTGATGACGCATGAGGTTTAGAACAAAGATGAGGTTGTGGATTATTTAGATAAGATGAGGAGGGTTGGGGTGAGCAGTTTCTTGTAGAAGTCTGCTATGGTTTTAGCGTAAATGCTTTAGAAGTTTCAATGACAGGAAACAAGGAAAACTTTTGACTACAAAACAAGCCTCAAACCGGATGCCATGAGACCTTAGAGATACTCTCGACGCTTTTCTTGGACAGCTGAGTGTAAGAGAGAGAGAAGAGAGATATGTTCTCTTTTTCTTGGAAAGTTTTATTGAAATGAAATAGTTAATATTTTACCCATATTTATTTTGAGCAAATTATATACGGATATTATTGGGAGGGGTCAATTATCAAATAGGATCGTGTTTTCTAAAAATCACGAGTACTACCCCCTCACCCTGAGGTATTTTTTTTTTTTCAAAATTGTCCCAATCCGACAACGCGACACAAGACAAGAGGAGGTCTATTTTATCTCCCCTTCTCTCTTCTTTCTCACTATTCTTACCTCCCGCCTCTCTCTATTCCTTCCCCTATCTTTTCTCCTTTACGGTCTTTTATGGTATCAATTTCACAGGGTTCATTCTTTCTTTTACGTCCCATCTTTTCCTGCTTTCTCCCTTAAAAGCATAAATTTCCCCTCTTTTCCATTCATGACTTCAGGTAAATTATGCTTGTGTGATGTCTCCCATCGAAACAAAAATCGCACCTAAAAACCAAACCTTGTGAATAAAAACCTCATAAAAAATGGTCAAAACAAATAGAGCACATGATTTGTATCGTGTTGTGTCATTTTTGTCTGGACGATACGATGTGTCGTCTACAAATTTTTTGAACCACACAAACTGTGTCGTGTCCAGATGGAATTTCAGTTAAACAAATTTGCCCAGGCCATATCTTATAAACTGTAGATCGGATTCAGGTGATTATCCAACCTTTGAAAGATCTTGATCTCCTCTTCAATTTTGAATGAAAAATGGCCCAATTTGGATAAAATTTGAGGGGTCTAGAGGGCTACGACTTTTAGGTGTCTGTTATGGGGCTAAGGGTGTCAGATCGGGTCTGGGGTAGTTTTCTATATTTATTAGTCTCAAGATTATCTAGGATGACTATTTGGACTACTGGGTAAGCTTAAAGTATTGGTTTTTACTCCAAAAATGTGATTAGCATATACTTGGTTGTTGTGGTCCCTAGGGTTTACTAGGTTGTTTTCGTCTCTAGGGTTCATTAGGCTGTTTTGGTACCTAGGGTTCAAGAACTTAAGAAAAGCTGCCAATTTCAAAATTGGTATCTACAGTTGTCTCTCTTTGGTGCACCCTATCATTCGAGGAACAAGTGGATGACAAAGAAGTAGACACCTGCAGACAATGTCTCTTATCCTCTTCACCTAATATCAAATGGTCAGAGGGTATACAGGTTCATTTAGTGGAGCTGTAACACAAGACGTCGGGTCATCCCACTCATCCTTGCAGTTTCATCCTAGGGTTTATGACATGAGCTTTTTATTGGACATTTTCTCATGCTAATTCGGACTTCTGAGCTGGATTTTCTACCCATGCCACATGATCTTAGTCTTGACATTCTTTCGATTGTTGAAGCTCTAAATTATAAGTTTTGAATTTGGCAACTCCAGCGTTTCTTCTCTCTACTAGGTTTATTTAGAACTACGTGTTTGGCTTATTGCTTGGAATACCTTAAGGCTAGGAAAGCTTTCCTAAAGAAAGGTTATCTTAAATTTCGCCGTATTCCTTAAAAGGATTGTCAGTTTATTTCCAAGAGAATAGAGGAAGGTAACGCGGTAACATCATTTACGGGCTTCCAATTCCTTCGTTTTAGAAAATATTTCAGAAGTTTTAGAAATATAACCAGGAGTTGCAGTGGATTGTACGATTTTAAAAAAGAAATTAAAGTTTTTCAAATCACATGACTAAAGGATTTTGTTTTTAATTTTTTTTATTTACTGAAAATATTTAAAAATGTTTGACAATAAATTTCGAAAGAGATTTTAGAAATTTTTTTAAAATTGTGGAGGTTTGACAGTTTTACCACTTGTGACCCCATTGGTGAACCCTATATGAGCTTGTCGGGTCCTTACTAGGATTTCAAGCCGAGGAATCATGAACTACATGTTCATCTTCCAACCTTGGCCCTTGTGTTGTAATTCCAAAGGCAGTTCTTTGAAGTTTTCGGGCAAATCGACATCTTGGCAAGTAAAAGATAGTACCCCTGAGTGCTCGAAATTTCCTTCGACTGTCCATTTCGTTCCTACCTCACTTACCTTTTAAAGTCCAAATGATCAAGGTCCTTAACAATCAAGCTAATTTTCATTAAATTTGTTTTTTGACACTATTCTCACTCAGGAAGAAGGAAGAGAAGATGTTTAGAGATGAAACCGTTTAGAGAATAGATGGAAATGAGAGAGAATTTCTCTAATTCCATCAGCTTGGGGTCGCTTTCGGGTGTTCAGCCCAATGGCATTTTTTCCAATGCTCGAGGTTCCTTTCGGATTTTTTGCCTAGCAAATTTTGTTTTCCTCTCATTTCTATTTTGTTTGAAGAAGATGATAAAGAAAGAGAAGGAGAAGGAGAAGAAAAAGAGTCAATAGTACTCTAATTCTTTTTCTTTTTCTTTTCTTTTTATTTAGCACCTTGCCCCCAAAACCAAATTGGGGCTCTTTCATTCTTCTGTTCTTTAGGTGGCAGGGAGACTCTAATTTCAGTTATTCGTGGATTTCCATCGCCCTAGGGTTGGTATCAATATCTCTTTTACAATGCTCGTTGAATTTCCATTGAACT